CTTGTAAATTCCGCAAAGTCTGGATCCCGTTCTTCTGGTAAATTTGCTGGCGCTGACGTTTTCTGCCTCACATGGAGATAGGCATGTTCGCACTGCGGTGGGCGACAGGCTGAGCAATGCATCCCTCAGCAGCTCAGCGCGATGCCCATTCTTGTGACCGACGATCGAGGCCCAGTGTCAAAATGTACATGATGTGTGTGTGTTCCCAGTCATCTGGAGAGATCAAGTCTGGGTCGTCCACTTTGCTTAGTGGCAGCGTGCTGGCCGTCACAGCGCCGAGAATATTCTCGTCTCGTCGGTCTTCCGGATTAGGCTGAACTGGGTTCTGTAAATCAGGCGAGGACCGCATTTCCACTGCCAGACGAGCGAATAGAGGTCCGCCCGTCTCCATCCACATGCCTTGAGCAGCGCCGTCATAGAACGCCTGGTTGTAGCGGATGGGGAACCATTCCTCGTGCAGAGCTCGCACCTGGGGGATGTCCCAAGAGTTCAGGTCGCGGAAGTAGATGACGCGCTCTGGTGCTGCAGGTGTTATCTGGGCCTTGATGATGGCCAAGTCCTTCACTTCGTGGTCGATCTCTAGCGCCACGACGCGCGGAGCGAGCTCCTCAACGGCGTCGTCAACGTACGCCATGTTCCTCGAGCAGCTCAATTGAAAATGTCACGCCTTTCTTGAGATTGTGAGAATACTTATTTTTAAGTATTTTATGCGACAAAATCTGGGTCGACTGCGAAGGTCTATTTCCGAAACTGCCAAACTTGATCACCAGTATTTTAGGTCTACTTTTTGAAGAAGGACGCGATGGTTTTCAGTCTCTTGCCATCTGTGACGTGTGAAACTGCGCTAGTCGCCGCCTTCGTTTTGGCCTTGCTCTTGCCTGTGGCTTTGTCGGGATGCAACACGAGTTGCAAAATCTTCTTGACACCTGTGGTGATGCCTCGTTGCTTCATCTTCGCGACTGTCATCCAGCGCAGCGCGTCCGACTCGACTGACAGCTCCGGCTGAGACTTAAAGTGCACGTGCTCGATGCCCATGTGATGCTTGACGTGCGAGAAAACGTGCGTGAGCTCGCCGAGGTCGCGTCGCTCAGAAAATGATCTGCTGGTTCCCGAGAGCGCAGTCTTTCCGAAAATGTCCGTGAGTCGGGAGTCCATGAACGTCTTCCGCTTGGAAAATGGGCTTCATCGAGGATTACGCACTGTTTTGCTGCGGTACTCTATGAAATTATAGGGGGTGGATTTTGCTGCGATGACCACTTCGGCTGTCCGGATCAAATCCAACAAGCTCCGGCCCTGGAGATATTGGATCCACGAAGGGATCCAAGTAGTACGACGCCAGAAGAGGACCTAAAACAGGGGCTGGATCCACCCCGGGACCAACGGAAAGAGGATCCAATCTGGATAGAGACGACGGATCAGAACTCAGAAAAGGTGGAACCTCGGTGGATCCGAGCTCAGCACGCATTCGTGGAGCCAAGGAACAGGATCGCGACTACGCCCATCCTCCCCCATTTCGATCCAGAACGTCAACCTACGGTGATAGTTTATGCCAGAGCCTGGGCAGTCTCAGCAGCCCTGATACAAGAAGATGGGATCTGTCATCCAGTCACCTTCGTCAGCCGGACGCTAAAGCCAAATGAACTGAATTACGGAGCGGTGGAGAAGGAGATACTCGCGCTCCTGCGCGTGTTGGATCTCAATTACAACCTGCCAGTGGGAAGATCCATCCGGATCCTGACTCGACACTCTACGCTAGCTTGGTTGTACACGTCGGCCGGTTTACACGGACGGTTGGGACAGTGGGCAGCTTTACTCTCGCCTTGGACACTGGAGATTGTGAAATGTTCGAAAGGGGAAGACGAGATCCTGGGAGTCTTGGCCGCGAGCATCACACCTCGAGCTAAGATGGATGAAGCGCTGACTAGGATCGCTCCTAAGAAAGAGCCCAAACGCCGGATCCAGATCCAGATCCCGACGGTACAAGTGGATGAGGATCTGTACGTCCTGAGTTTCGATGGATCTGCTCGCGTGCGACGTGGTGGAGGAGCATACAGCGCAATACTGTGGAGACTGCCCGGATGGGAAGTGGTAAGGGGCCAGATCCACTTATGCGGAGGGCCTTGTAGTCAATGAAGCAGAGTATAACGGACTCCTGCTGGGTTTGGATCTACTAAAGGGACGGGATCCGAAAAGGCAGAAAGTGATGGTCCACCTGCGTGGTTGGATGAATCACGAGTTGGTGCATGTCAAGCGAGATTGGAATGCCAGTGCAGATAGCTTGGCCAGTGCCGCTTTACGGAATCAATGTGGTGTCGAAGTGGAGAGAGAGGTCGAGCATCAGGATCTCGTTACATTGAACCGACTAGATGAGGTGGTAGTGGTTGGATCCGAAAAAAGGACAGTCCAGGTAATGGCTGTCACTAGGTCTAGAGGAAGGATTGAATCCAGCCCCCAGATTCTCGATGATACATTTGTGAAGGGAGTCCGCATTGAGCGGATTCTCAAAGCACAGAACGAAGAAGTGTGGATCCTGGGACTAAAGAAGTATCTGACGGGGGATGTACGAGACCTGAGTCGGGAAGATGCCAAATCCTACAGTATTATCGCTACGGGTTATGCAGTGGATCTGAATGACTTGCTCTTCTATTGTCCCCCTACGAAGAGAGTAAAAAAAAACCGAGGATCGGGATGGATTGATGAGACTGATGATGCCGGAACCCCTACAGCAGGATGTCCTACATCACTATCACGCTAGTTTAGAAGGTGGACATCAGGGAACTGGTCGGACCTACCAATGGATCCGGGAATGTTTCCACTGGAGGGGACTATTCAAGAGCGTGCAACGATATGTCGGTGAATGTGTGGATTGTGAGACAGGCAAGGGAAGGCCCACAATCGAAGGGGAGTCACCTGGGAATGTCCAAGCGACTTACCCTTTCCAAATCATAGCCATGGATCACATTTCCTCGTTGCCCAAGTCGTTCAAAGGAAACACAGAATTGTTGATCTGGGTGGATCTGTTTACCGGATACGTGATAGCCAAAGCTAGTGCGTCTAGAACTGCACAAACCATTGCCGAATCGTACGAGGAGTGCGTTTTCCGAAGATTTGGGGCTAGTGAGATGATTAGGCACAATCGGGAGCCAGGCTTTATGTCTGATTTCTTCTGATTTCTTTCGAGCTTTTAACCGGATCCTGGGGCAGAGACAGCGGGCGACCATGGCATATCGTCCCCAAGCCAATGGATCGGCCGAGCGCATGGTACAGACGATCACGAGGGCACTCAAGATGTATGTTCAGGATTTGGATCAGAGGGATTGGGATGAGTACGCAGAACGACTCCCCTTCGCGATGAACACCGCCCAAGACAGGATCCGGGGTGACACCCCATTTTACTGGGTGCACGGGTGGGATGCTAGATCCACCCTAGAAGCAGCCATTCCGGTATGTAGCACCAAGAAGAGAAGCCGAGATCCAAGACGATGGCGATACCAAGTCCAGAAATATTACCGGCAAGCCAGATCCCAGGTGAACGAATGTAACGGGGTACGTAGCCCTAAGTGTATTCTGGTTATATGAAGTGTGACACTTCACACTTCAGGGGCATGACACGTCATACTCCCGGATATTTGGTACAAAATACCAAGGTCGTTCAAAGCCAACCATTGGTCAACGACATTGCATTTCTATAGGTGACTTATAGTTTGTATTAAACCCAAATTTAATCTACCTATAAATATACTCAGTTTACAATCTACCTTATTTAGGGTCACTTCGCTCTCTTTTAAATAAAAGAGGGGACCTGTGAACTACCCGTTCACTGAGAGTTTGTATACTCTCGGAAGATAACTTCCTCTAGCGCAAGATGCTGTGTGAACCCGTCACAACCTGGTAGCACTTGTAGTCAATCCACGCCATCGCGGGTAGACTACCTGAACCTCCGAAGTTCGTTGCCATGGATAGGAACGACTTCTCCCATATGAACGACTCTCAGTTCGAGTCGGTTCGGAAGATGGCAGGCATCTTCGGGATGGAGGCCCTGCAGAGCCTGGTGGTATCAACACCGGCTGAGCAGCTCGAGCGCGTCAATGCATTCGACGCGTACGAGCAGGGCCTCATCGCGCATGTGCGGGAGAACCTGCAGGCTCCGGCGGCGGAAACAAACCCGCCTCACCCGAAGCCAATACCGCTGAAGGTAAAGCCGTATGAAGGGAAGGAAGGAGAGAACCTTCACTTCAGGGTCCGAGAAGTAGAGCTCGGATGG